AAAAAAATTCAACGAGGAGGATGATGAACAAAAACTCCCCAGAACCCCCCTTTTACCATTTTTTTCCCCTCTGCAAACAATAGCCGTTGTTTCATGAACAACTTGAAATACCTACAATATCCTACAATAATTTTATAAATCTGACAACTTTTGGAATGTGCATCGGATGTCAATACGGCAGCCCCTGAGAAGGCTGGCTCCACTGCTCCACACCACCATGCCGATGTGAAGGCACTACTTGAAGCGCAAAGCAACACATGAACACATAAGAAGCACGGCAACTCTTAAAACTCAAAACACATGGCAGCCGTCATTCCTGCCTTCTCTTTCTTGTCCCACTTCTTCTTCTTGTCCTTCTCTTTCGCGGCCTTCTTCGAGAGGGCGACTGAGCCGCTAATAGTTGAATCATCTGCCCGATCTAGAAGTTCGATCCCTTTCGGCAATGCTTTCTCCTCATATTCCTCGGCTTGTCATTGCTCAAATCACGCAACAAATCCGAGAACAACACCAGGCCCTATTGTCTATCCATCCTCCTTTTCCTGAATACTTTATATAATGATACCTCGCCTCTATCCGTATAATTGGTCGGAGGTCGGATGCTTCACACAATGCAACAGGGTGCTGTGAGGTCGAAGCAATCGTAAAGCTGCTCGTCGTGATGAAAATCTGAGTCCTGCGTCAGAAACCGACAGAAACCCATTGGTGCACGAAAGGACAACAAAAATCCCAAACAACAAGACACTGTTCTGTGCTCTGTTCTATCTGATCACCAACTGTTGCAACATGTTGCAACCATTCCCCCCTTTCGATGTATCTGCCGTGCTGTGGGCATCGTGTCCTCCCCAGCTTCCACGAAAAGCTCTATGCTGTCTTTTACGACCGCCAGGTCGCTCACTTCTACGGCATCGTTGTTCGCCTCACCGGTGCCCCGGATGGGGGCGTGGTTAATGGATACCCCTTAACCATCCTTAACCTCTTAATTAGACACCCCAAACAAGGGGGCCCTGGTAGTTTTTCCTAGCTTTGAGGAAACTTCTCTTGGATCCGATCTTGCTTCCGGCAAAGAAGTTGTGAAGATCGTTCTTTGCGGTCTCCCTTTGCTGTGGGCCAAGGTTGAGGACTTGTCTTGGAGAAAAGGGGGCTCGGGTGGTATCCGATTTGATGAGAACTCAAAGGTGAATGATACTGACTGATGCTGTTGATGACAAGGACGAGTGGTAAACCTGAAACATGTCTTACCAGCTAGTGGGTGCAAGCACCAAGTAGACCCCAAACTACCATAGGGGTGTGAATTCACATACACCCCCCAGGGTGGTCATTATATATATATATGTATATAGATAGATCTGATTTGCTACCCTCCAGGGGAGGATCCGGCCACAGAGTGAGGAAAAACTAGGAATCACAGCCCGCATGGTTGCAATATGTTGCTATCTTATTGGCTTCACAAAACATGCTATCCCAAGGTGGTCCACTATAGAATCATGCACCCCAAAAGCAATAAAGTGGGGGTCGAGAAAGTCGATAACATATAATTCAGGGTTCTCCAAACTATAGAATCAGGATCCATGGGTTCTGAAAGGCCTCACTCCCAAATCCTCCTTCACCTACACATGCTGGGTGAATCTGCTCCCTAGTCTACCCACTCCCACCAAATTCCATCGCCACATTTAGCCAACACCAGAACACCTGCCTTCTCACCCCGAAATTGAACCACACAGCAGGTAGCTCTGACAAATTATCTACAAAACCAGGAGTTTATGAAACAGAATAAGTATGGAGCGTCATGCAGGCTTCAACATTATGGGAATACCAAATAGCACAATCCGAGACGAAGGGACGGTTGACATCGTTGGACAGGAATGATTCTCTATACAATGGTCTCTACAAAGTCAAGGTACCCAAAGTGACATTCTTCGATAACGAGAGCAACCAACAAAATCTCCTCCGAAGGATGCATGGTCTCAGGGTTTGTTTCCCCACAACCAATGGATCAATGGCGAATGTCACACACACCTCGTGGCTTGTAGAATCACACGCCTTGAGGTGCGGCATTCGCTAGAAACGGGTGCCATGTGTCTCTAAAATGCCCGAAATCATGCAACCAATTGAGCCCTGAGGGTCCATGCTTCATAGAGGAAATCCACACGCCTATGGAAACTGCCCATGTCCCTTTCTGCTCCGGAAACAAATCCCCACAAAAAAATCGTTCCAACGTCTTGCGCACTTGGCCTATAGGTGGAGGGCTGAACAAAACGGCCAGGGCCCTTCAGGGCGAGAGCCCCGGCTGCGGTGCCCTGTGGGCTCTCTCGCGGTCCAAGGGACGGCTCGGAGCAACTGTTCGAGCTTCTTGATATGCCATCGGGTTCTCTCCTGAGATGGCGGCGAGTTCGAGCGCGGGGCGCGCTCATCGACTGCGCGATCTGTGGCTTTGAAAGAAATCATGTGACACTGAGAAGAGGTTGTGTTTATGAATGTAATGAACTTCCGAAGAGGCTCCACCTGAAAGGTTCACCCTACTTCTTGGATCTTCTTGGTGTATTGGACCAAAAGTAAACACCCAATGAAGAAAACCTTTGATCTAGGTAGGTGTTGGGACTTCAGATGCCACATCTAGGGGCTGTGCAGGAAGGGCGGAAGCGTGGAGAATTAAACATCCTCAACTGACCCGTGCTTAGCAAGGAATGAGGAAATGTCAAAGGAGTCTCCATTGAGGGCTCATTCCCTCATTCTACTAAGCGCCAGCCAGTCAACCACACAAATGAAGCCTACTGCCTACTGCATACATCTGCATACTCCATCCCGAGGTCACCAGGAATGCTCTCGGAGTGGCTCTGAACAGGAAAAACATCTTGATCTCATCTCCCCATTGGTTTGCAGTCGCCAAGGCACTTGAGCCTTCTGAAGCTTGGGCAACCGCGACTTGTCGTCTGCGCTCGGGGCTTTCCTCGACCGATTTGAGGCGAGGCAGGGACAACAAAGCGCCCTTCGAGTGGTCAACGCATGTCGGTCAATGAAACCGACTTCTGCCCATTTACTGCCCGTGGCCCGCCTTCCAAAGTAGGCTAGCATTAAAAGCGCTGGTGCTGCCAAGACTGGTTCGTATCAAAGCAGTGCGGGCAATTAGCTGGAACAAACCAACCAGCCAACCAACCATTGCTGTTCCCCCCAGAGTCTGAACTGCCAAGGTTTTAACACACCAAACTGCCGTTCTTCAAATGGATCTTCACCAAGCTGCTTCCCTGAGAGTAGCTGCGTGTCGGCTTCAAACTGGTCTAGTTGGTCCTTCAGCGCCTGCGCCGTCGCCGGGTTCGGGTCCACCGATGAGATCACTCGAACCGAACATCCCAGTAGATATATATGTTTATATATATATATGTATATTACAGTAATATACATGTTTCAGAGATTCCAGAGATGTACAATATCTATATCCACATGTTCCAGCGATCTGATCTGAACATCGGTCCAGACGGTCCGCTCCGCTTCAGGAACGTCAAAACGTCTGATCCAAAGCTTGCTGGGGGTCGACTTTCGGTTGAAAAAGGCGGGGCCAACAGGACTGTCGCCCCCAGCGAAAGAGCGAGATGGTCTAATGTGCCGTGCAAACACAGGCACGGTGTTCCCGTGCCAAAACAGGCGTTGTTGCGGCATTGTCTAGTGAGTATGCCGTAGACTCATTCCTAGATCATGAAAGCACACTGGTTCATGCAGGGGCCTTCACTACGTTGACCTGTGCTGAGCTGGTGCCGTTTTCGGTCAATGTCAATTAGACACTTCCTCCGTCCTGGGTCATTAGGCTTTCAATAGGCTTTCAATAGATCAATAGGCCTTTCGGTCAACTAGGTGCCATAAACGTCCCAAGTACCAACTGTCCTGTCGAGCTCTACCGGCCGCTCTTCACCCGCCGGGGACGAGAACGCCGCGTGGCTGAGACGGCCTGGATGGTCTGAGCCAACCACTCCTGGTACTTCTGCTTCTCCTCAGCGAAACGCGGCGAAGTGGCAGGATTCAAGCCATAGCCGGTTACGGTTGGAGAGGGATAGAGAGAGAGATATGACATGGCCAGGTATGGCTATAGGCTATAGGATGGTATAGGCCCATCAAAAGCGCTTCCACGTTTGCCTTTTCCCCAATGTTCAACTCCGCCATGCTTCCGCTTCTTCTAAGTCGAGCTCGTCCATCTTGGCTAGACCTGCAGCGATGAATACATTCAACAAAATACACCATGCAGCTGTCGAACGAACCCATGTTGTGCTTCCTTTCTGTTCGGGTTTAACCCTTGCCACCTACAACCTATACCTTTCCATTCATGTTCCTTTCTACCACCTACCTGTCTATCTTCATCCATTTGGGTTTCTTTCTGCTCTTCTTCATGCGTCCTCCAAACAAGCACTGGACCCGTTCCCTCCCGGCCTGTACTGGAGAAGGCCTTCGTCTTGAATTCCCGCTCGAAGTCTTTGAATCTGGACCTTGTTGACCAGCATGAACCGATGACATGAAAGGAGCAAACAAGAGTGGTTGCTGATGGTCCATGTTACAAACCTTCAACTTGCACAAATGTCCATTATAGAATTATATATTATATATATTTATATGTGTGTGTGTGTGCAATGTTCCTCCTGTGAACTTTCTCAAGAATCTTCATGCACTTGTCGGCATAGCCAACAGGGCACAGGCGAGACCGTTCGAGAGATTCACTGGACGACAAGATGGTGGATGACTGAAATGGTGACCAATGCAAACGAGTAGTCCAAAAACATGACCTCTTGGATGGTCCTGGTACTTTCGTACACTCCATGAGTATGAATTTGATGATGTCAATTGAACGTCTCTGGAGGAAAAAACTGAGAAACTAGGAAGATGATGGAAGATTGACAGAGATTCCAAGGATCGATGATAGCAAAGCCAAGCTTATTTTCAAAAAAGAGAGAGAGAGAGAGAGAGCGATGATGAGCGATGGAATAAGGGTTTGGTCCGGAGGCCCTTCAGGTGGACAATTTCCTTGGCGGCCCGCACCTCACCCCGTTTCAGTTGGGATCTGCATTGCGAGATTACGGCTGAAGCAAACGACAGGAGAACACGAGACCTATCACTATAAGCAGGAGTCGATGTTAACAAACATGTTTCAACGGCACTATATAGTCACGAGTCCTGGGTTTATGGTTTCTAAAGGCTTGTGCCACATTGACCAGCAAGCTGGACCAGCATCAGTTCTCACTAGAAACTGATGAAACGGGTCATCAGCTCGACCTGCTATGTTCGTCAGGCTCGACGACGAGTCCGTTGCGTGCGAGGAGCATGTCGTTCTCGATCTGCTTCCGGCCCTCTTCAAGTTTATCCTGACAAGTGCACAACGACATCGACGCCGCCCGCGACGCCCGTGCCACTTCAAGAAGTCGCACCACTGGCTTGACAAAAATCATGCCAAACTGGCTGAACAAAGAGAAATTCATTAAGGAAGGATCCACTGTGGAATTACCGGTGAATGTAGGGAATCAGATTCTATAGTGATACAACGAAAAACATACCCCTTGAGGAGGGTTCTGGGGTGAGGGATTTGATTTCATAAAGAAAAGTCATTTATAAAATGGAAACCCTCAGGCTGCTGAATTATAAAATGAGAAGCCGACCTTCGAATATAATGTCGAGACAGCATACAAGAGAACATGACAAAAACATCTGCAATGACAGCTTTTTCTATGGAGTGGATTTCCATGATTTTCCATGTAGAATTCACGAGACAGGATGCATAGGCTTCTTATCCGAAATTTGTTTTTTTGTCCGTTTTCCGGAAACATTGTGTTGTTTATGAAACGAATCCTGGAAATGTAATTCTATGTGACCAACACCCTCATTTCATAAGGACTTCTTCAAGGGGGATCGAAAATCCAATCTGAAAGGGCAGAATGCCCCACCATAGAATCAAATCTCAACCTACTGCAGTGCTGAGAACCTGTTCCTTATATATACTCTCCAGCAAACTAACATGGAACCCCAGAATTGACCGGTGGAAGATCATTTTCCTCTACAACCCAGTGGTTTTGGGGTTCCATGTTAATCTGCAGGGGAGTAAATTAAATCGTCCAGCTCAACCTTTTGAGCAAAGCTATTGTTTTCCTTAATAAAGTTTGATTCCAACATTTGCGAAAGTAAATGATGCAAATCCAAGGTTGAAATTGATTCTATAGAGAAGTGTGGGGGCAATATGAAGGTTGAAAATGACTTTAGAAAATGATCCGACAAAAGTGGCATAAGAGGTTGATTGTGACTTTATAGAGACATGAATGGACATTTTATGAGATTCACAACACACCAACACCAGCCACTCTGAAATCAATTCTCAGCCTTCTACTACTCCAAATGCTTTCTATAAAATCAAAAGCTACAACCTCCATAAAATCTGGTGCATTTTCATAAAGTGAATAGCTCAACCTATTGGGTATCGTGAAAATATCGCCCCGAGAGGCACATCTTTAAATGCTAGTTTCTATCAGGTATGTTGATATCTCATCTCATTCTAAAGAAAAACATGTCTATAAAATCTGAAGGTCGTTGCTCGACCTCCCGGACTACCCGGATTCTATAGGGTTCGTGGGGTCCTGGGGACATTAACAGTGTTCCCTTTGCCATCACTTCACTGTTTTCGATACCCACGGCCTCTAGAAGCAATTCCTTGTGCCATTGGTCAATAATTAACTCCTAATGTACTCGATCTAGCTCCGTCTTGGCACAAGCCTCCTGACGGTCCTGATGAAAAAAAAAGGGTTTTTATTAAGGCAAACTACTTTACTTCGAGTGATCCCCACCATGACATTTCAATCATTGGTCTTGATGCCATAGTGAGGAGCATGTTGCCATAGTCGTCAGTATTGTAGTTCTCGATGTTGCTTGTGGGTCCTCGGGTTGTGTGCTGTGGTTGTGTGCTGTGTTGTGGTTGTGGTTGTGTTTGTGGTTGCGTGTTTGTGGTTGTGTGTTTGTGGTTGTGTTTGTGGTTGTGTGTTTGTGGTTGTGTGTTTGTGGTAGTGGTAGTGGTTGTGATTGTGTGTTTGTAGTTGTGGTTGTGGTTGCGGTTGTGTCTTTGTGATTGTGTGTTTGTAGTTGTGGTTGTGGTTGTGTCTTTGTGATTGTGTGTGTAGTTGTGTTTGCGGTTGTGTCTTTGTGATTGTGTGTGTAGTTGTGTTTGCGGTTGTGTGTGTTTGTGGATGTGTTTGTGGTAGTGGTAGTGGTTGTGATTATGTGTTTGTAGTTGTGGTTGTGGTTGTGTCTTTGTGATTATGTGTTTGTAGTTGTGGTTGTGGTTGTGTCTTTGTGATTGTGTGTTTGTACTTGTGGTTGTGGTTGTGTGTTTGTGGTTGTGTTTGTGGATGTGTTTGTGGTTGTGCTTGTGATTGTGTGTTTGTGTTTGTGTGTGTGTGTGTTTGTGGTTGTGTGTTGTGTGTATGTTTGTGGTTGTGTGGTTGTGATTGTGTCTTTGTAGTTGTGTTTGTAGTTGTGTGTTTGTGATTGTGTTTGTAGTTGCGTGTTTGTGATTGTATTTGCGATTGTGTTTGTGATTGTGTGTTTGTGGCTGTGTGGTTGTGGTTGTGTGTTTGTGGTTTTGTGTTTGTGGTTATGTGTTTGTGATTGTGTCTTTGTAGTTGTGTTTGTAGTTGTGTGTTTGTGATTGTGTTTGTGCTTGTGGGCTTGTGATTGTGTTTGTGGTTGTGTGTTTGTGGTTGCGCGTTTGTGGACTGTGTGTTTGTGGATTTTTTCTGGCAAACTATCTGGTTGAGGTCCAGCGGTGCACACTGCGATCGGATCCTTGCGGTTGAGGTCCAGGGATGCAC